GGGACTTCCTTACAATTTATTCAGCACTGGCTCTCCCGGCGCTCTGGAGTCGCGCTCTCGCTGGAAACTTGCTTGCAACCCATCGTTGCCTTCTGTGGCCCCGCATTATCTGCCCTTTGTGGCCCCCGCTCGTTCGCGCTCTTCGTGGCCCCATACGCATTCCCTTCGTGTCCCCGCTGTCGCCCTTCGTGGCCTACTTCGTGTCCTTCGTGGCCCTGCTGTCGTTCTCTCTCGCTCTCGCTTTCGCTCGTCGTCGCCGTCGTCGTCGTCGTCGTCGTCGTCTTCGACGTCGTCGTCGTCGTCGTCGTCGTCGTCGTGGTCGGTCCCCTGTCCGTCCCTCTTGGGGTCGGGTCGACGGTCCGCGGCCGCCCCGCCGATCAGCGCTGCCGCTGGCCAGGCCGACGGTCCGCGGCCGCCCCGCCGCTTGCCGGGGCCCGGCCTGCAGGGAAGAAAGGTATACCCCCCAAAAGGGGTTCGATCGAAGACGAAGAGGGCGGGTATCGAGGGTTTTGGAAATACGTGTTATTGGACACTCGAGCAGATAAGGGCGAACAGTTGCTGCTGCTGTTGTTGCTGCTGCTGTTGTTGTTGCTGCTGTTGTTGTTGTTGTTGTTGCTGTTGTTGTTGTTGTTGTTGTTGCTGCTGTTGTTGTTGTTGTTGTTGTTGTTGGTGTTGTTGTTGTTGTTGCTGCTGCTTTTGCTGTTGTTGTTGTTGTTGTTGTTGTTGTTGTTGTTGTTGTTGTTGTTGTTGTTGTTGCTGCTGCTGTTGTTGTTGTTGTTGTGGTTGTTGTAATGCCGGCCCCTGCAAAGCAGTCGGGGCTGCCGGGCGTTAGTGTTGTGCACAGATCCTGGCGCCGGAGGTCCGCGACCTCAGGCGGGCACCTGGGCCACCCTCAGTCTCTTCCTCCCTCTTCTCCTTTAGACCTCCTTCCTTCCTCCCTCCTCCCTCTCTTTTCACTTTTCTCTACTCCTCCCTCCTTCTGCGGCGATCCTTTCTTCCTTCCTTGTGGAGGCGGAGGTTCATCAGGGCACCATATCCATACCAGACCCGAGTCAAAACTCATAGTAAGGACGCACGGATGTCCTTCGGGTGCCTTTGCGTTCTTGCCTCTACGGCCTGTCCTTCGCGGTTTTCACTGGCCAGCCCTTCAGGGTGATGGCAGTCCGCCGCCCAAAATGTGCCCAGTTCGGCGTCCGAGGCGTTTTGCATCCTTGGCACCACTCCGTCCCCGTCCTTACTACCAAGTTCGACTGTGCCTCAGGAAGGGCACTGCCTGGGACCTGTGTCCAGATTCGGGCCCGTAGCGTGTAGCCTCACCCGGACCCAGGCCTCGGGAGGAACGCAGCCCCGGACGTCTGGGAGGGAGCGAACAGCTTCCTCGGCTCGGCTCGGCTCGGAATTGGCGAATGTCATGAGCCACTGGCCGTAGTGCCCACCCGTGGACCGACCTGAGCGGATCTCAAGTGTGACAGCGCGACGTTGCTTAGTGCAGTTTTTGGGATTTGCATCTCCCTTCCTGTCGTTTTGGAGAGTTCGCTTCGGGGCCCCTGTTGGAAGGAGTCTTTGGGGCCTCTCCGTGCTTCCCGCGGACACGTTTGTCTTCGTTGTTTGGGATGGGGCCGCTCGGGTATCTCGGTCCCGTTCCGTCTGGCCCAGGGGGCCCAGGGGGTCCAGGGGGCCTCCGAAGTCTCAGGCCTGGGGAGCACCGGGGGTGTCGGGAATCGCAGAAGTCGGGGGGCCCGGAACGAGTGCAGGTGGCCCAGGGAGTCCAAGAGGCCCAGGAGGCCCATGGGGTCCAGGGACGCATGGGGGTCCAGGGAGCCCAGGGAGCTCAGGGAGTCCATAGGGGGTCCAGGGTCCAGGGGGTCCAGGCGTGGCGGGGGGGGGCACAGCGGTCTGTCAGGAGGCGCCCAGAGGCTTCTGGTCTGGACGCCCGAAATGGGTATGGAAAGAATGGGCACACTGCCCAACAGCAGTCCCGGTTCATTTTGAACAGGACTCGCTGTCCGCGCTTTCGCGGCCTGTGTCCATTTGAGACAGAAGGCCGCCTGCCCAACAGCGGCCGCTGTTGGTTTGGGACAACATTTGTTGTTGGGCATTGTACCCATTCGTTCGGTACCCATTTCGGGTGTCCAAATCTGGAAGTTCAAGGCAAGCAGATGCGCAAAACACAACCACACCCCTGTCGGCAGGATACCCTAACCGGCTCGCCAGAATATTGAAGCATCCCTTCTGCAACAGGGAGCGCTACGGGAAGTGAAAGCCAGCATAGAGATTATTGCAGTCAATCTGCACAGTAAGGATGAGCGATTTTCTAAGGTTACCCGTGCATCCTTCCCTTGCGGCCCATTCTTGGCCGCTTTCGCTGGCCGCGCCCCGCTCGGAACGTTGCGACATGGCCTTTTAAGGCCCTTGCATCCTTATCGTGCGTCCTTATTCTGAGGAACGGTCGTACATTCAAGTCGGGCATGTCCTTCTACAGGAAGAAAATTCCAACACAGTAACGAATCGCACGGGTTAGTATGTTTGGGCTTTTTTGGTGTATGGTTTGATTTTTTTTAGGTTTCGTCCAAAATGCCCAGCCTAAACGTACATTGAGTGCTAAAATGGAGCCCCCTCGGGCGGGAGACCATATGCGGGAGACCAGGCGGGAAACCGTCGGGGAGACCATACAGGAGACCAGGGGCCACCGAGCCGCCGGTCCTGGCTGTGCAGGATCGCAGCACCCGGCGTGGAGGATTTGGGCGCTGACGATCGAGGTCCTCCTCGATGGGGTCGGAGTGGAGGGTTTCTCCGAAGGGCTTAGGCGACCCGTCCTCCTCTCTCCTCCTCCTACTCCTCCTCCTCCATCTCCTCCTCCTCCTCCTCCTCCTCCTCCTCCTCCTCCTCCTCCTCCTCCTCCTCCTCCCTCCTCCCCTTCTCCTCCTCCTCCTCCTCCTCCTCCTCATCCTCCTCCTCCTCCCCCTCTCCTCCTCCTCCTCCTCCTCCTCCTCCTCCTCTCCTCCTCCTCCTCCTCCTCCTCCCCCCCTCACCTCCTCCACCTCCTGATCCTCCTCCTTCTCCTCCTCCTCCTCCTCCTCCGCCTCCTCCTCCTCCTCCTCCTCCTCCTCCCCTCCTCGGGTCGCCTGCAGCCCTGGGTTCAACCGTCCAGGTCGGAGTTTATGGGGTCGGAGGATCGCGCCGCATCGCCGATGCATCGACGATGCGGCTCGATGCGGAGCCCGATTTGCTTCACGTCGACGTCGCCGATGCATCGCTGGTGCATCGACGATGCATCGCTGGTGCATCGCCGATGCATCGCTGGTACATTGTCGCATCGCCGATGCATCGCCGATGCGGCGCGATCCTCCGACCCCATCTACTCGGACCCCATCTAGGAGGTCTCCAGACGAGAGACACGGGCGGTCGAAATCACCTCGGGGATGCCTTGGCCGGCGTTTGGTGGGAGCGCGCCAGCGTCTGCCAGATCTGGGTCCCAAGAAGGGCCCCAGAACCTCTCTCTCCCCCCGCTCGCATCCCTGCGAACAAAGCGGGCGTCGAGAATTTAGGTCCGCACACACCTGCACACACACACGCACATAGACAGAGGGACAGGACAGACAGACAGACAGACAGACAGACAGACAGACAGACAGACAGACAGACAGACAGACAGACAGACAGACAGACAGACAGACAGACAGACAGAGAATCACAGTTGAAGGCTCTCTTCGCTTCACTGTGATCTTGGCGGCGCATCCTTGGAGGGTCGAGGCGAGATCGGAGGAGGGCGATGACGGCAATGCCAGCTCAAAATCGGTCCCGGGACCTCTCCCTGGATCCAAACGAACACCCTTTTTCGTGGGAGGCGCGAAAGCAGAGTTGAGACAACGGCAGCTCAGAATCGCCCCCCGCACCCCTCCCGAGGCTCAAAAGCCTCGTGGCGGCTGGACCTAGGGGCTAGCGGCTAGGGGTGTAACACACACACAGACACACACACATATATATATATATATATATATATCATCTATATACATATGTTTTGGAGCGTTCCAGAGAGTGCCTTGTCTTCGAGGATCGAAGGAGTTGCCCTTGTTTCCTCGGCGGACGGCGGCGGAAGGGCGGCGGAAGGCGGCGGAAGCAGAACGAGGCTGCCTCCACAGGCGGAAGCTGGCGGAAGGCCAGCGGAGGCCGGCGGAAGTATACATCGGCCCCTCATGAGAGATGGCAGCAGGTTTTGGTTCAGGGATTCTGGAATCGGCCATCTATCTATCTCTCTCTCTATCTATCTATTTATCTATATATCTATCTATCTATCTATCTATCTACCTATCTATCGATCTATATTTATGTAGATACGCATATGTTCATTTGTGCATATTTATGCACAGATATACAAGGTAGTGTTGGCTCGCTTGGCTTCGCCACCACATCTTTTCCCTTATCCTCCCTCCTCATCCTTGTGCTGGGGTGTGTGCTGGTGGTCGTGCTATGGGTCGTTCTGGCCGTTTGGCCGTCGATCGGAGAGAGAGAGAGAGAGAGAGAGAGAGAGAGAGAAAGAGAGCGAGAGAGAGAGAGAGGGGAAGTGAGGGAGGAGGAGGTGCGGGAGATGTATGCATCACTTTACATGTCTGTGTGTGTATTTATATATATATAAAAGATATATAGAGAGAGAGGGAGGACTCACGGACAAGCAGTTTGGGCGAAGCCAGTCCAACGGCCCCTCGGCCCGCCGACCTCCGACAGAGCGGCCGCATTTGGGCCGCCCCGCGCCGCCCGCGAGCCGCCCCCAGGAGCTCGGCTGCGACCGCCTCGCGGCCTCGGAGCGCCTGGAGGCGCTGGCGAGGTGGGCGCAGACGGCGGACCAGGCTCGGGCGAAGAGAACTATGCACATGCACCGATCCTGGCAAGGCCCATCCTTGACCCGGGATCGGTGCATATGCCTGCCTGGCCAAGGTGGGAGGGCGTATGCACCGATCCTGGGCTCAGGGTGGGCCTGGCCAGAATCGGTGCATGTGCATAGTTCTCTTTCCTCTACAGGCAGGGCCCGGCTGGCCCTCCTGGGCTGCCCTCCGGCGGTGAGCGAAGGGGGGGGCAGCGAGAGGGAGGAAGGCCTCCTCGGAGGGTTCGGAGGGGTCCTCCGGCCTCCCGAGAGACGCTTTCTGTGAGCCTTAACCCGGAGACAGACAGCAAGTTCTCTCAGAAGGTGCGAGGGCCTCCGAGAAGTCCCGCCGCCCTCTGAGAAGGCCTTCTCAGCCTCATTCCCCCCCGTCTCGCTCGCCGCTGAGCCTCGGATGCCTCCCGGGAGAGCCTTGGAGCGCCCAAGGGACGCGTCGGGCCGCCCGGGAACCCTCGGGGGGGGGGGGGGGAGACGGTGCATGAATCAGGAGGGGAAGAAACACACAGACACAATTAATCGTCCATCCCGAGAAAATACAGGAAAATATGGGAAGTGGGTTGAAGACGAAAGCCCCCCAAATATTAAAAAATATGGGGAATATTTTTATTTGTGTGTATTTATTTGTGTGTCCTGGGGCCCCTTCAATGAATGTAAGCGTGGAGAGGGGGTGGGGCCCTCAAAGAACTCTTTGCGGCGGCGAGCGAGGGGGGGGGCAGTGAGAAGGGGCGGGCCTGCTCAGAAGGCTCGGGAATCCCTTGGCCGTCCGAGAAGTGTTCTGAGAAGCCTTGCCCGAACACGCAGAACACCGAAGCCTTCCGAGCGATCCGAACCTTGAGGGCCGGATCGCTCCTGAGAGGTCCCAGCGCCTCCTGAGAAGGCTTTTTCCTTCTCACTTCCCCCCCTCGCTCGCCGCCGAGAGGTGGGCGCAGGCGGTGGACCCAGCGGGGTCGGCCACGCGCAGACTGAGGGGGGCCGGGCCCCCTCGAGTCATGGAAGCATCAGAGCGGGAGGTTTCCCGCTATTTTCAGCCTTTGGGGGCCCCCACTGGGTCCAGGGACCGTCAACAAATATTCAGAATCGAAAAAAAAAGGGCCCTGTGGAATGTAGAAGGTGCGGGCCTTGTTTATCGAAGACGCCTATGGGGAATCATCGCCGCCGCCTGCATTTTGGAATCGCCCATGTGGCCGAGCGTTGTGGCAAGATCTCTGCCAAGCTATCGGACCATGTGTTCCTCCAGCCGTTGTGGAAACCCTTCGGGGAACATTTGGGGAAGGATGGCGGCGACGATCAGGAGGAGGAGGAGGAGGAGGAGGAGGAGGAGGAGGAGAAGGAGGCAGACGAGTTGGAGGGGGCATATTGGGAGCCTTTGGAGGCACTCTTGGGGCCTCCTGGGTGCTCTGGGTGCCTCTTGGAGGCATCTTGGGGGCCTCCTTGGGCCTCTGGGGGGCTTTGGGGGGCTTCTCGGAGGCCTCTTTGGCCGTCTTGGGGCCTTCGTGGACTGTCTGACGCCGTCGGCAGCCGTCATGGGGGCCTCTCCGGGCCGACTTGGGGCCCTCTTGGGTGCTCCAGGGCCGTCTTAGAGGCAATGCTGGGCGTCTTGGAAGCATCTTGGGCTGTCCCGGGGCCCTCTTTGGGGCCGTCTTGGGGCCTCTTGGCCCGTTCTGGGGCCGTCTTGGAGGCCTCTTGGGGATCTTGGGGCGATCTTTTGGGGCTCTTGGGCCGTCTCGGGTCGTGGGAAGGCCGAAAAGACGCACATTCCAACATCCTTCAAAAACTGTAGGAAAATCAATGATTGTGGCCTCTTCGGGACTTCCTGGAGGCCCTCGTGGGGGCCTGCCTCTTGGGCCGTTCCGGAAACCTCTTGAGGGCCTTTTGGGCAGTCTTGGGCCATCTTGGAGCCATCCTTGGCCGTCTTGGTGAGCTCCTGGCCGGTCCGACGTCGTCGGGAGCCGTTTTGGGGGCCTCTCTGGGCCGACTTGGGGCCCTCTTGAGGTGCACCAGGGCCGTCTTGGAGGCCATGTTGGGCGTCTTGGAGGCCTCTTGGGCTGTCTTGGGGCCGTCTTGGGGGCCTCTTGGCCCGTTCTGGGGCCGTCTTGGCGGCCTCTTGGGGCGATCTTAGGACGATCTTTGAGGGCTCTTGGGTCGTCTCGGGCCGTCGGAAGGCCGAAAAGAAGCAGATGCCAAAATCCTTAGGACACCTCAGGAACATCAACCATGTTGGCCTCTTTGGGCCTTCCTGGGGGCCCTCCTGGAGGCCCTCTTGGAGGCCTCTTGGGCCGTCTTGGAGTCCTCTTGGGGGCCTGTTGGGCCGTCTTGGGCTATCTTAGAGCCATCTCAGAGCCATCTTTGGCTGTCTTGATGGCCTCCTGGCCCGTCCGACGCCGTCGAAAGCCGTTTTGGGGACCTCTCTCGGCCGACTTGGGGCCCTCTTGGGGTACTCCAGGGCCGTCGTGGAGGTCGCCTTGGGCGTCTTGGAGGCCTCTTAGGGGCCCTCTTTGTGCCGTCTTGGGCCTTCTCTTCTTCCTCGTTCATCTCCTTCTCCTTGTCCCTCATCTTCCTCTCCCCTCCCCTGTCTCCCCATCCTCCGCCTCGCCCGCTTCCTCTCCCTCTGCCTCTCCCTC